AGGAAGGTATTGGCTTCGAGTAAAACGGCGACGTTTCAATTCTGGGCTGGATTCTCATTTTCTAGGCTAGTTTACAAGGTTAGTTTGGGCCAACTTTTGTGGTTGATAGATTTTGAAGCTTATGATGGAAATAAGTTTAATGGTTAAAAATTTATATATGGGTTATAAATTATCAAAATAAAAATAAAAAAGTTGGATTAAATTAGGATATTATATCTATATATTTAATTAGTTCTAATATATATATATATATATATTAGAATACTAATTTAAAACTTATATATTATTATGATAAAATATTAGTATAGACTTTAAGTTAGGAAGCTAGTTACGAGTGAATTTTCTTGTATGGTTAAATAGCTCGAGCAAGAGCTAAAAATTTTAGGAATAAAATTACTATTAAAGTTTTATCAATTTAATTGATGTGGAAAAGATCAAATTTCTTATAAGATTGTAATAAGAGAATTTCAGGGAGAAAAATAAAATCTAAATCACATGTGAAAACTATATGAATTATGAGTTTTTTATTAACTATCGGTTAAGTTTATTATTATTTTTTTCTGTTAGTGATTGTTATTTTTTCAAATAGATAAATAAACATGTTTCATTGTACTGATCGGAGGTATTCGTAGTGACTGATACGGTCGAAGATCAAGAAGTGACTTATTTATCAACCAAACATTATTCTTACGGCTAGATCCAATCTCTTATTCCATGCAGAAAGAAAAAATAATTTCATGTTCTTCTTTTTGGGAAGGGAGGATTAGAAAAATTTTTATCGATTTTAATTTTTTATAGACCTCTGAAAAAACCTTGAAAAAAAATTATCAAACGGTACGATCCCTCTGTCATTCCATAATGAAATGAGTGATCTCGTAATTCTTGATATGTGAATATATGTTGTTAGATGATCTATTTTATTTTTTTATTAGTTTATGAAGATACCTATGTTCGAGAAATAGTTGTTCATACACTAATAAGGGATATATAGATTATCGAGAATATAATATAAATAGAAATATAAAATTTACTTATTTAAAATTAAGAGTATATATATATACATGTATATTCAATTACTTCTAATATATATCATAATAATTAATTTAAAATTTAGATATTATTATAGAGTTTAATTAAGAAACTAGTTACAAGTGAATTTTCACATAGCACTTATGGTTATATGACTCGAGCAAGAGCTAAAAATTTTAGAAATGAAATTACCATTAAATTTTTATCAATTTTCTATCTTAATGGATGCGAAAAATCTCAAATTTCTTACGAGAGTTTAATAAGAGAAGTTCGGGAGAAAAACAAAATCTAAATCGCACGTGAAAATTATTTCAATTATGAGCTTTTTCATTAACTATAAGTTAAGTTTATTTATTTTTATCATTAGTGATTGTTATTATCTCGTACAATATAAATAGAAATATGAAATCACGTAATTATTTACTTTTGTTTATTATTATTAGTAAACATAATCTAAGAATCTTATACATATTAGATTCAATACAGAAATTTCTATCTTACTAAAATTAATCCTAATTTCATAATAATTTTTTTTGAAGTATATTATGTAATTATTTACTCTTATGAAACTTAATAATGTATTTCGATAAATAAATACATTAGTTTAAATTTAATTTAAAAAACTAAACGTAACGATTTAATTTTAAATAAATGAGCATAACTATTTCATTGTTATAACTTTCGATTAAAAAATATTAAGTATTAAAATTACATTTTAATTTAGATCGAGAAACATTATAGCTAATTAACTCTCAATTTGTTATCTGCGATCTTTCGTATTGATTGACTGTTTATTTTTTTTAAAAAAATTAAAACAAAATAATAAGTGTAAAAATAATAAATTTTGGAAGA